ATAAAACCTTAGGTCATGAAACATTATCCCTAGGTAATTAAAATATCAATTATTATTATCAAAACAATAGGAGAGCATCTTGTGGCCAAAATATGTGATGTTCTCCTCATGGAAATATTGGCAAGAAAAGGATTAGGGTAAAAAAAAAAAAAAGTCAACATTTTAATTATTACTGAACAAGATTAAAGTTCAACACAAAGCTTCAAAGTAACTGAAAATGTGTTGTGGTAATAATTATAAGCACAATTAATTCAAATACCTCTCTAAATCTTTTCAATATCTTTTAATAAACAGTATAGCAAGCATGGTAAATCGTGATCATTTGTACAGTCAGACATTTAGTGATCAGCAAGATTGTAAAATATTCCAATGCTGAATGTTTTTTTAATGACAGTTTTCTAATTTATATTCTGTGGATCTGTCTCAAAACTGATGTATAAATGAACCATTAATTGTGTGTAGTTTGTTTTTATTGTGCAGAAAATTGCAGTTTATTAAACTAAAAAATATGTTGGACAGAAAAGCAACTATTGGACAAAGTAGTGTGCTGCAAAAATTTTGATATTTACTTTTGTAAAAATCTCTGAAACTCCATTAGAATCAGTGTTATTTTTAGTCTATTAACTTGTAAGATTTGATGTGTAATTATATCTCAATAGGAAATAAGATGCCTTTCATGAGATTAATTTCTAAGTATACAGAAAAAGTACTACCATAAAGATATTTCCAGAACCTTGTGTTAAACACTTGTAGCTGAATATTTTCTGAGATTTATCATTGTTTTGCAGAGAATAATGGCAGAAAGAGAACTGGCTGCTAATCCAAATCAACATAAAATGGATGGTATTTCAGATAAAGAAATGACAGAAAGGTATGTATTGCTCTGTATTCACTGATTTCTCATTTTACATGATGTATAAGTTGGAAAATAAGTGTACGATATTAACTTCAGTATGTATTTTGAAATGTCCCAAGTGATTGAGTTGACACCCTAGATTTTTATTGTTTTAATATATACTATTGTTGTCCATGTTAATATTGATATAGATAAGATACACAAATTTTGCTTGGATTGGTGTTGTTTAGTTTCTGTGTAATTTTTAGGGATTAAATCTATGTTTTTTAGTACATAAATGACCAATACCTTCACTTGGAATGCTTTTTTTCCAATTACATCACTTTAGGGCTTTATCTAAGCTTATTATTTATTGATAACAGACCTTAAATGTTTCTTTATCCTACTTTAAAGAAAGATTTTGCATACTCAAAAGAATAATTTCATCTACAAATTACAGTAAACCTCATTAATTCATACTCAAAGGGAGCACTAATTATTGTTTGAAATAACAGTTGACTGTGTGTGTAGAGAGCACTCTACATTTCAACAGTATTATGCAAATTAAATAAAGTATCTATGTACCATCAATACAGGTATACAAGATAAATAAGATATTTTATATGGTTATTTCAGTCTTTATATACAAGTGGTCAGGTGCTATGATAAAGTAATTATTGTAAATAGCATTTGGACCATGTCACCAGTTTTTTTAAGTTTTCAGTTATTTCTCAAAATACCATAGATCTTCTGTTCATATACATGGAGAGACATACTGAGTTCACAATACAGATTTAATTTATTCTGGAATCAATCGGTATTTTTACACCAATCATAATTCATAAACTACTTTTGTACATTAACTCCTTCAGCATAGAATAACCATTTTGTGCTTGTTACAGTTTTCGTGCTATAACTTTTAAATTAGTAAGCATATGTTAATAAAATTTGGCAGATTATCAGAAACATTAGTGTTTTCAGATGCAAAATATCAAATTTTTTTATTAAATTTTAAGGTTTGTAAAGCAATGTTTTTCTTTTTGCATGTTGCCTATTTAACACGCAAAGTAATTTTCATTTTAAGATTAAAAATACTTTTGTGCATCAGAAAATAATGCCCATATAGTTATCAAACGTTTCTTAAGAAAAACTGGTTTTTTGGTTGATTTGACCAATCTCGTAACCACCTTAAACAAATTAGAAAATAAATATAAATTATGCCTTTTTCGTTCTAGAATGACTTCAGATTATATCATGAAAACATAAATGTTTAGAATGAATAGCTTAAATCTCATAACATTATACATTTATATATATTTATTATATTGACCTTTCAGCCATGCCTGGCTAACAATACAAAAGTTACAATGACATGCCGCACGTGAACTCAGTTACCGTATCCAATAATATAAAACTGACCTTTAGTCGTTACAAAGTGACCTGTCTTGGCTGTGTCTTAGTA